ATATATACCTTTACCATCCTTGTAATGGAGTTTGTTAAGCTAAACAACAATGTTGGCAGCAACACAGTGTTTACCAAAAAGATTCACTTGTGATCTTTCCAATGCTTTAAGCGATGACTTACAAGCACTGGTTATTTTGTCTTATGGATGAAGATAACAGTTAAGTTCATTTAATGACTTTTGCCACAAATTGTTTCATTCAGTTACTGTTGCATGGTTTGTGGCAACCCGGTCGCTTATGGTGTTACTTATATTGCTTATATTACTTCGTAATTCCAAGTTCTTTTGCTGGTAAATGTTACTATATATCTTTGCTAAATGATCTATTGACTGTATAATGTGACTCTGATAGTCATTAGCTGTACTTCCAGTTGGTCAAGTTGGTCAATTGCGACAACCATGCATTTTGTCTGAGTTGTAAAGTGTACTGCATTTACATGAAGACCCTCCTGAGTTGTGGAATCAGGAGCCAGAAAAAGACAATGCTATCACAACAGTCTGTAGGTCTGAAAGAACACCTAGTTCACGCATCATCTGCTCCACAGTTGTGTGATGTCGGATATCACTGAAACAATATCCTGTGTGTTCTCCGATTTTTTGGAGAAGCAGTGGCACACTGTGAAAAAGAACATGACACATAAGCATGTCATATATTAGAGCCCTAATACTTGTTGAGTAACTTTTAAAATGTCTTAAATTTTGTTCAGTCTCGTGTATAAATTCAAATTTCTCCTGTAATATCAACATAACATTCTGCAGGACTTAAATCTCTACATTTTTTTCATATTGTTTTTGTTGCTTTTGTAATATTGCTCTTACAGAATACAACTATTTATGGTCTGACGCTAGTTGCCTTTTCAAAGAAAGGTTAGCTTTTTGGAGTTGCTTTAACATTAAGTTGGAGCAATTTTTATTTAATTTCTCACGCAGTTGACGAATTGTTATTTCTTTTTGAGCAATAGTCTGATTAATATGTTTAACCCTATATGGTTATGATCAAATTTTCTCTCTCAAAGTTATTAAATTCTTTTTATGTTTAAGAATTTTTGGGACAACTTCATTTGCCAATATAGATAACCTCAGTTTAAGTACATTTTTTTTTGGAGTCAGTTGGTCATTTCTCATCTTGGGGAACAGTTGTAAATCAAGAGAGGAAGTACCAGAAATTGACAAGGAATCAGCACATGATTCAGCTAAGCTACTTGGTCCGATTGGGGTTCAACAATCTAAAGAATTGGAGGTAAATGATGCATTGTAAACTCTAGTAGGCACTGTAACAGCTGCAATGTCAGGTAAAATAGTTAAAGAAATGGAATTAAAAAAAACTTCTATGCAAATTTTTTTTAACTTTTGCATATCTTTTGATATTTTTTACTCTTATTTCTCAAAAGTTAACAAACATATGTCTCTTGTAACACCGTCAAAGTAAATAAGTTTTTTAAACCAATCAAATTTTAAAAAACTATCCCGTGTTCAGCAAAACTGTTAAATAAAACAAAGTTTAAAATGCGAGAAATTCTTTATTTCACCGAAACACCTGATATGCTTGATGACTCTTGAAAACAATTTGCGCAAAACAGATTTACTTCAAATTTGGAACATCAGCAGATAAATAAATTATCTAAAGGACCTTTTACTTTCAAGAAGAATTCGCCATAACAATGTAAGTCCTCATTGTTTTTAAGGGCTGAAGCTCCTTAAAAACAATGAGGACTTACATTGTAACATAACACATTTTTTTATTTTTGACAATAAAAATAAAATATAAGAATATATAGCTTAACCTTTTTACTAAACGACTACCAATTTTTATTCAATTGGGTTCATAAATAGCGGCAAAATATTGTTTGGCTTATATAGTGTTTTCGCAAAGTAAAAAAGATAGGTCACAGTTTTTTACTTACTTTTTTTACGTCAAATTACGGATATTCGCACGTACCTACCTAAACATCCTCAACCTAACTGAGCCTTCAATGCAAGAAGTGAAAAAAACCCAACAAATTGTTAAAACAAAGTATGTTTTTATTTATATCAACTGAACTCAGAGCAACAACTATAGACATATTTTAGGTCAAGCGCAAATTAAAAATTTTCTATGATTGATGTGAATGCTTCCACTGTTCTTTCTCCATTAAGTGATTTTTATCAAGTTTGCAATATATGCGCATTAAATTTTCGAAAATTTAATGACTTAGTAATTGCGAACGGTAGACAACCAAATCAGATGTCTATTGACCTTGGAATTTCGACTTTCCATCTCTGGGTTTTTTCTTTCACATGGATGATACATATTAAACAGAAAAGAAGACAAGAATAAAATAGTTTTGAATTTTTTTTTATGCAAACACTTTTGTAAAGAGAAAAAAAAATCCAGGATTGAAATTTCAGTAAAATATTAAAGATGCACTCAGACTCATTGTTGATGCACCGAAAACTGGTGCTTTTGGTACGTTGAATCATAAAAAACACAGCGGAAAATACATTTAAAATCCGTAATAATGTAATTTTATTATACTAAATGCTCAAGCATTTAGTATAATAAAATTACATTATTATAAAGTAATTGAGTTTTTAAATATATAACAATAAAACAGGTGTCAATTTCCTAATTACGTATTTTTAAAGATAGAATTTTAATAAAAAAATTTGTTTAAAAAATCCGTTTAACGCGTTATATGATACTCCAGAGTATCCATTTTGTAATGAAAAGAAAAGAGTTACTCATTCCAAAATTAAAAAAAAAAAAAAAGAAACAAATAGCCAATAAAAACGAAAAACAGTTTTTGAAAACAAATTTACCTCTCATAAACGTTTTTTTAAACGTAAAACAAAATAATACTTGCCTTAGTTTTTAGTAAAGCAATTTCAATTTTAAATTTAATTAACAAATCAGAAGAAATTATTTTTAACGTTAGCTACCGTGTAATGGTTAGCCACAGCAGTCAATAAAAAAATTTACAAGTCACAAAACCTTGTAACCGGTTGAAAAACAACAAAATTGCTGTACGTATTTTAAGCAACAAAGTTTGTTGTAATATATATTAAGCAACAACACTTCTTCTATCTTTTTTAAAGCCACAAAACTGGCGGTACTAATTTGCTAGCTATAAAACTTGTGGTACCTAATTTGTAAGTCAAAAAACGTGCGCTACCCGAAATTGGTATTTCAGAAATGTATATGCAAATAAAAAAGTATAAATTTATCAACATATTAGTCTTATAATAATTTGGACGATTATGATCATTGCACGTACAAAAGACCAAATATAAACCAAAATTGTTTGCTCGGACAGGACGGAACAAAATGTTTTCGTCTATGTTAGGTTCAGATTGGATTTACTGACGTACGTTCAAAATTAAACGTGCTATTAACATCCAAATTTGACCTCCTGAAGTGCGTCCATATATGAAATTAGAAATTTCTTTCCAAACTAGAATTTAAAATTGGAAGTACAAATTTGACTTTTTTGAAAACTTAGAGAAAAACGTTCTTTTCAAAATACAAAGTGTCTAAAAATTGTTCTAACTCAATTTTTTTGAGTTGTAAACGTAGAACAAAATAGTTATAACCTCTCGATATTGCGCCAATATTTGTGCAATATAGGCATGCTTGAATTGGCTAAAAATAGTTATGTCCAGAGATATTGGTGTGTTTATTCAGAAATATTTGTTAAGAGATATTCTGCCGAAGGAACACAGTTTTTCCATTTTAAAAAACTTTACTTTTTTTTTGGGAAATACTATTCATTATTTTTTTCTCGAGCTAGGCTTTATGTTAGAACATCGTAGATGATCTCTACGTAACTGTTTTAGATGTTTTGTTTTAACGGTATCGGCATGAATGTTTATAAGAACGTTTAGTATATTGCAAATTGCGAAAAGTTGATATTTTGCATATATTTTGTTATTTTTCTATTAGCTTTGATACATAAATCATCGGAATATACAGTAATTTCTTTAAAATAAAAAACTAAACAGAATGCAATGCGAAAGATGTATTTTAAAATAAAAAATACAAATTCAAAACATCAAAAATTACATACTAAAAAAACTATCAAAACTACAAATAAAAAGAAATTTGAAATAAAAAATCAAGTCGTTGACATATATTAATAATTTAACCGAAACGCCTTTTTTCGTATGGCGTCCTTTTTCACTTCCTTTTTGCCATCTAAATAAAGAAAAAAGGAATAAAAACGATAAAAACAAACAATTCAATATAAAACCGATGCAGCAGTCGTTCAAGCTTTCGTGTAAAAGCTTCAGGATTTACCTAATAAAAGAGTGTTACACAAAAACGCAGAAAACTTACCTAAATATCCATTAATGACATTGAACATTTTAATGGAGCCATCCTGAGCTTCATACCACGGATCTCCTGCGTAAACTTTGACATTTGTAAAAACTTGTGGGTTGAAGTTTTGTACAGTATATACATTTTCGTTATTGATATATAAAGTAAAAGAAGCACTTCCCGATTCAGCGTGTTGACGTATATGAATATTTATCCACTCGCCTCGTTGAAGTGGCTTGGAATTAAAAAATTCATTTTTATTATTGTTAATTGCAAAACCAAGGTGTAACACATTTTCATTCATCCAAATGCCAGGAATTCGGTCACCGTATTTCGAATTATCCTCTCCTATAGTCAAATGAATGACACTATTAAATCCTTTTGAAAAACTGTTGAGTTTTAAATCGAAATAAATATCAAATGATTGTTCTAATTTTGACAAAACCGCAACCAAGTTATTTTTTTTCAGTGTCTCTTCAACTTCATTATTCACAAAATCTAAAGTAAAGAAAAAAACCACCTTTTAAGTATCTTTATAATAAATTTAATTAGAAGTAAACAGTCAAAAACAAAAAAGTTTCCTAAAAATATTATCATTCAGCTTGCAAAGTTTAAATAATTTTGATAAATCTTACATTTTGACTTCAGTACAGCGTTCGCTAAAGATTCACCTAAAATAACGTGCGAAAAATAACATCCATTTGAGTTCAGTTAGACAATTCATTAAAAGTAAAAGTGTAAAAAATGAAAGTTCTGTATATAAAATTAGTTCAGATATAAAAGTAATAACCAATAGTGCATTTAAAAGTTTTACGTTGTACATTTTCAATTACTAAAATACAAATCGAAAAAACAGACTCTTTGATACGCCTGATTTAAATGCGTTAGACAAAAATAGTAAAAAAGAGTATTAAAAAGAGTAATACCAGGCTCCCCGTTTACAAGAATGAGATTTTTTATCGATCCATCTTGAGATGGATACCACGGATCTGAAGCAAAAACTTTGACGTTTTCAAATTTTTGGGGTTTGGCATTATTTTCAGAAAATGCGTTTGTTCCATTTACGTCAATTGTGAAAACATATTTGTCATCAACACGTTGCTGACTAATAACAACGTTTGTCCACACATTGAGGGGAAGTGCATCAATATTGATTTGTCTATTCCTATTTCCATTTATCGGTGCAGTAATGTGAAAACCCCTATAGTTAGGTTCATAGGGTCGTAACCAAAGTGCAGGAGTTCTGTCTCCGTATTCACTGATATCATTACCAACTGTGAAATGAAGAACACTGTGAAAACCATATGAGTATGACTTGGGTTTTAAATCAAACGAAATCTTGTAGGACATAGCTAATACAGGAATGGTGGCTACTAATTCCGCTGATTTTAAACTTGTTTCGTAATCTCTAATCAGCTCATCTGAAAAAGATACATAAAAAGGCAAATGTAAAAATTTAAACTAAAAAACGAACTGAAACAACAACAAAACCTGTTTAAAACAAAAATCATACTTTTTAAATAAAAAAAATTGTATTATTGTGTAAAGCAACATACTAAATTTCTGAAAGATTGCGAGGTTAGTATTATCTTTTTCTATTTCCACTGATTGGGTTTACTCAAAATAATGTTTTTGTACTCTATTAAATCTTGAGTTGTTATCAATAAAAAGTTGGCATGAAAACAGAATTAACAAAAAAAATTTTATATGCCGTGTCCAAGAAGTTTTTATTTTTTAAATCGATTTATCTCTAAACTCAAAAATGTGGAGCAACCAGGCGAGATGCTATTTATTTCTTAGGTTTATTTGCAGGTATTATTTGAAACCGGTAAAAGTGTTTTAAGTTTTAATATTACAGGTATGCATACATGTTCTAGATTGATATGGATTTTTTTTAAACTTATTTAGTTAATAAAAAAAACTTATTTGTAATAAAAAAAAAAAAAAAAAAAATTTGATACCTAAACCATGTGTTACCACGAATAGAAAAACAACACCAAGTACCACTTTCTAAGAAAAAAAAACGTACTTCGTTAAGTAAGTCAAACTCATTTTGAAATACTAAAAAGAAATATAGTAAAAATGCAAAAAGAGAATAAATAGTACCATTTTATTATCTATTATCTGTATCGCGATATTCGTTTTTTCTCAGCAGATGGTTTGTTAAATTTGCATAGGTTGACCAAATTACGCGTCTTTATATAGAGAGCAAGATTACTGGCGTGTGACTAATCAAATGCTCCAAACAGTTGCTTTTCAAATTAGATTTGCAATTTTATTTTATATTTTATTAATAAATAATTATTTAATAACCCTTTGACGTAAACCTAATAACGATAACATCTCATTTTAAACATATCTATGCAATTCTATTAATTGAGTTGAGCCCTTTTAAACCAGGTCATTTATAAAGTGACACCCCATCAAATCCTTTCTAAATAATGGAAATAATTTTGACATTTTGATAATAAGCTCATATGATAGGCAATGTGGATTAAAAACATAAAAAGTTTGTTCCCCATTTACCTATTGAACTTTCGATAAATTAATTAAAAAAAACTTATATAGGGGTGATAAAAACATTTACACTTCTTAAGCGCTTTTTTTCTGTTTTCGATTTTTGCGAAACTTTGTCTGATTGTAAACATTATAATTTTTGCAAAGTAGATATGCAAACCCCTTCAATGTTGTTTTATGTTCTGGGAAGTGACGTTTTAAACGACATAAATGCTATTTTACTTACTTTTTCATTTTGAGGCCGGAAAAAGTTTATTTTATTTTCTTAAGTTAAAAAAAGTTGCTATATATTTTGTGTGAACTATTAGAGTGACGGTGTTTCAATAAAATCGAGGAAATATTGTTGAGGCAAAATTTTATTTAGTATGAACAATTATAAAAATTTGATGTTTTTTTACCAAGTACACTTATAGTTTTTATTTGAATGTCATTAAAAGTCTTACATTGTTTAATGTTGTAATTAAAACTACTCAGCATTTGTTGCAATGAGACACCACATTTTCTGAAATTGTGTTTACTTTTGAATTTGTCTTTATTAGATAAAAATCCGTTAACTTCTATTTTATATAGCAGATAATGTATTTGCAAATTTTTGATCTTGCAATGGTGGCGTAAAAAATGATACTTATATGCAAAGCGTTTGTTTGTTGTGTAACTTTAGTTTTTAGTTGTTGGTAGTTTTTAGAACGTCATAAAATTTTATGAAGTTTCAAAAAATGTAAAAATTAAAGACATTTTAATGCAGTAGACACTTTAGTGCAGTAGAAAAAACAAAACTTTCTTTTAGTTCAAATCTAGATAAAATTTCTATAAAGTAGACAAACAACGCCTGCCTTTTAGCCGGATATCTTTTTTTAATTTAGAATTTAAATTAAGCAAAACAGATATTAAGCGATTTAGATAGCTATGCGGATTTACTTGCGCATATAAAATTTAAGAACTAGGCAAATATTCAACAACTACATACAAGCTTCACTAATTTCTGGTTAAAACTTGAAAAAGCTTATACGTTTTTATTTGCTGGTACGTATGCTACATTGAAAATTGAAAAAACAACCGTCTTAAAAAACCATACAAATAAAAACGAACAGTAAGAGAGAGAAAGAGGGCAAGATGGAAAACGTAATAAAATTCATTGTGTTTTTGAAAAACTGTCACTCATGAAGCAGTATTGCTTTGTCAGCATGTTTGTTTTATTGTAATAATTAAATCTCTGAATAAACCTGCAGTTTGCAAATAGTAAACTTTGCAATAAAATAACCATGTAATTTTCAAAAAGTTTGTCGTCTGGTCACGGAAACGGGGAAAGATAACTTGTTATGAGTTTTCTGTCTTCCATTTTAAACTAGAAGACACAAACCGCATGACATGGCATAAAGCATTACTGCTTCATGACTGACAGCTTTTTAAAAACTTAATGATTTTCAATACGTTTGCAAAATTACCCTCCCTCCCTCTTTTCTTTTATTTTTCTTACTTTTCTTTTTAAGTGTATGGTTTTTTCAAACGGAATTTTTTTTGAATTTGCAAGGTAGTATACGTACCAGCAAATTCAAACATATAAGCCTTATCAAGTTTTAATCAGAAGTCAGTGACGCTTGTATGTAGTTTTTTTATTTTATATGCGCAAGTATTTCTGCATGGCTATCTAAATCGCTAGATAATTGCTTTCTTTAATTTAAATTCTAAATTAAAAGACATATGGTTAAAAGGCAGGCGTTTTTTGTCTACTGTATAGAAATTTTTGATAGTTATCTAGATATGAAATAAAAGAGAGTTTTGTTATTTCTACTGCACTAATGTGTCTACTTTATTAAAATGTCATTAATAAGTGTACTGTATTAAAATGTCTTTAATAAGTCTATTTTATTAAATTGTCTTTTAATACTATTTAATTAAAAGAAACTACAAAAGTAGCATATATTATTTGATTTATAAACTTTTTTAAGTTACAGCTCATATTTTTCGAATATTTAAGTAATTTTAATTTTGAAACGTAACTAATTAAAAATATGAAGTTTTGTAAAAACTTATTTGAAAACAGTTCCAGCATTTTTTGTTTTATTTATAAAGTTTTGTTCAATAGGGAACGTTAGCTCAGAAGCATAACTAACTCTGTCATAATAAATTAATAATATGCTAAGTTTTCTTTTAATAATTATTTGAACCTTTTGTTTATTGTAAATTTTTTCTTTTTTTAATGTGAGTCTTAAAAAAAAAAAAAAAAAATTAAATTTTTCCTTCTAGATATTGATAAACTGATTTTAATAATAAAATAGTTCCTAAGAAATTTAATAGTAAATTTATAAATGTTCTTTAGGACTTCAATTTAATTATTAGATAGTCAATTATTGACGAAGTCTAAGTAAGTCGACTTAAAAAAAATCGAGCAATCTATATATTTGACTATAATGCTCTTCCTTAGTCAATTATTAATCGATATAGTTGAATGATACCCAATAAGCACAAGAAATCCATAGTTCGTACTGTTTAGTCTAAAATGGATCGTCTTTTGACGTCCAATATTCGTCCAAATACGCACCATTTTGGACATGGGCAATTTTGTACGTCCATAAACGTCCAAACCCAAAATAGCATGCGTAAATATATTTTTTTAAAATGGTTAAATAATTATAATAAAAGTTGTCTATTTTTAACTTATTCGATAACTGTAACTATTTAGTTATTGTTATCTTAACATATAGTTTAACTATATAGCTCTATAAAAATATATTTTTATTTAGATTAATGAATTTATTTATGGACTTTCACAGCGTGCAGTTCAAGTATATAACTTTTTAATAGGGGATAAATGAACAAAATAACAGTTTTATATCCATCCATTACTCAAATACTATTACTTATTGTGGAAAAACTTTATGTGATCTGATTAAGTTAGTATTATAAGTTTGGTTTCCCATAACAATAACATGCATGTAAAAGGATAGGCAAAACATTGCACTAATGTGATTTGAAAGTTAGTTTCCTTTATTTTAGAATTTTTTTTTCTACATTATTTTTATAGAAAAGCGTACTAAAATAAGTTTTAGTTTGACAAGACATAGAAATTTAGTCTTTTTTACTTTGAGAATTTATTTTTTAAAGTCATGATGTTTTTTTTTTGCTTCATGGGAATCTTTTATAAATAAATATCAATGAAAGAACATATAAACATTTTTTTGAAACCAACAATTTAAAAGTAATTTTCTTGAAACCAACAATTTAAAATAAAAGGTGTGCGGAAACTTTTTTGAACAAATCTGCAGCAAAACAAATTTATTCTCCATAATATTTTGATAACTAACAAACAACGTTAACGCCAAGATAAACAAAATTCGTTTTAACAGTCACAGCTTTTTTGGCATTTTTAATTCCGAAACTGCATTTAATTTAAAATAGCTGCATTTACTTTTCTGTACTGAACTGCATTCTCACATATTTAAAGTATACTTAAAAGAAAAAAGAAGTGATAAAAAGTTTTTTATAGTTAAAGAGGTAGTAGTTAGAAGCGAGATACATGTAAAACATAAGCAAGTTTTTAGTACAAAACGTCTTTTTGCCTTTCACTTTAGTTTTTGAGCCAGAAAAGGGTATTGTTTAAATTTATTTATTCTAATCCGTAACTCCTGTATAGAGCAACTTGTAGATAAAAACTCGTCTATTATTAATTTTATACAATTATAATCCAAAAAATTATTAATTGTTTTTTAGTAATTCAGAAATAAGATAAAAATATTCTAGTATCAATTGAAATCGACATTGTTTTTGTTCATTTATCCCCTTTAAAGATGGCTCTGAAATCCCATACGCTAAAACCACCCCTTATTAAAGAAGGTAATGAAAAAGTATAGACTATAAGCGGTAATCAAACAGGAAAACAATTTTTACTTCAAAAGTTTATTTTGTAAGCTATGCTAACTTTATCAGTAGAAAGTGTGCTATTTTTATTTGTAGAAAGAGTAAATAACAGATAAAAATTTACACTGTTTCTAATTAAAAACAAAATCAATCTGAAACTGAAATTGCTAAATATTGCATGAAAAAAATCCCTCTCGCATGTTGAATGCTTGCAAATAGATTCAGCAAGTTTTGTCGCTTGCAATTGGGTAGCAAAGAACTCTTAACTTGCAAACAAGTACGGCAGTTTTGTGGCTTGCAAACAGGTATAACAAGCTTTGCGGCCTGCAACCTGATACCGCACGATTTTTGGTTTACAAATTAAGACCCACAATTTTTTTGGGCTGCAAATTAGTACGGCCAGTTTTGTGGCTTGCAAACAGAAAAATGAAGTTTTTTTGCATTATATTTATTGCCACAAAATTTGATATCTAAAAAAGGTACAGCAAGTTTTGTTGCTGTACCTGTAATTCAAAGGTTATTAAAAGTTTTATGATTTGCAAACTTATTGTTTTGACAGCCGTGTCTCTCCTTTACACGGTATCTATCGTTGAAAATGATTTGTTTTGTTTAGTTAATTCGAATTAAAACTGTATACTGAAAACCAAAAGCAAGTTTAAATTTTATTTCATATTAAAAAAAGTATGTAATAGGTTTACATTTAGTATTTTAAGTTATTTGTTTTTTTTGTACTGTTTTTTTTTTATTATTTTTTTGCAGCTCATAATGAGCAGTTATTCTATTTACATTACAAAATGGACACTCTGATGCATCTTAAAATGTGTTTAACATAGTTTTCATACTAATTTGCTCACTATAAAAATAACATTATACTGTATCTTTTT